AGGCAAACTTGGTACGCAATAATAAAGCAAAGGTAAGCTTTACTAAGTTGTATTTGTAAGGTCCTGTCTTTGTAAGGTTACCTAGAAACTACAACGTAATAAAAAAGGCAAAATAGCTTAGTGAAAAAAGTTAACACTTATTTATTCACTTTGGTAGGTATACAAAATAACTCAAGTTGTCTAAGGTTTGAGGGATTGCAGTAAAAGGATAAATTGGAACGAGCTCACGTTTATCGATATCCTTATCCACAATTTCAATCGACGACTTCTTTAATCCGTAGACTGCGTGGCACCACACATCCAATAAATAGGCTAGCGGTTCAAAGTTCACTGTAACTAAGCGGTCGTGGCGAGCGTGGACTGTATTTCTTTTTCTTGTTGATCGCTGCTTCAAAAACGACGAAGGACCATTTGTTAAGTTCGTGTCTTAGCTAGGCTACGGTCAAATAAAAACTTCGTTTATAAAAAACTCAATAATACTTTATTGAGTAATAGACCGTAAATAATAACTGTATGCGCAGTCGCAGCTGGTTAGAAGCCGAGTGCCGGCGGCGATCCTCATTCGCGATGTCCCTCGCTGCGCCCCGCACGTCGCATCCTCCCCCGGACAGACCCGGCCGTGGGTGCGCGTAGACAGATTTAAATAATTCTTCTCACGACAACATATGTTAGCATGTGGAACATATCAAATAAAACAGGCTAGATCATATTTTGGAGAACACATAAGAAGTGATGGTTCATATACAGTCGAAGTTTGTATAGAAAGAGCCAGCAACCTTATGCCAAGTCTTCCTTCAGCCGACAATTGCACATTATTAAGGGCCAACATACAAAGCAGACACATAAGTAGGAAAACATTTTATTTATTTATTATTTGACAGTAATATAGAGAATTTAAATGCAATTAAAGAGTATCACTGTAACTGCATTGTTGGTCGAAGAACTGTGGGTTGTTGCTCTCACATTATGTCCGTAATCTGGTATCTAAGTTGGGCAAGGTATGAGAATGTTACTCCTCCAGCTCAGTTTCTGAATAATATTTTGATTGTGTATGAAAGTGATGGTGACTACAATTAAAATTAAATGTTTGCAAAAATCAAACCTTTTTTTTTATAGGCCTGGATACTGGATGGAGGCCACAATAAAGTCAGCGAGGACACTTGGCTCGACTTAATTATTACCTCTAATCCTTCCCTTGTTTCCTCTCATGGTCAGCTTGACGCTTCCGGATTTTCACATCATGACCTGATTTTCCTCTCCTACGTTCTCAAACCTCCCAAGCCCAAACCTAGGATTCTTTACAGGCGTTGCTTTGGACGAATGGATATTGACAAATTGAATGACGATGCGTCACATATTGACTGGACATCCCTGATCGATTCTACTTCTATCGATGACAAGGTGCACGTATTTAACGAAATAGTGACTAAACTGTACGAAATTCATGCACCGGTTAAAAAGGTTAGGCTTAAACGATTGCCAGCACCTTGGATGACCAGGGGTATACAGATGGCCATGAGACGTCGAGATCGGGCATTTATTACTTATAACAGGGACCGTATCGAAGTCAACTGGCAATTGTACAAGTCTGCAAGGAATCGGTGTACCCAAGTGATAAGGAACGCTAAACGCCGCCACATTCTAGATAATATTTCCTCTTCATCTCCTGCCGACATCTGGAAGTACCTTGGGACTCTTGGTATCGGCAGATCGCGACATGTGGACTTTCCACAATCCATAAATCTCGATTCCCTAAACCAACATTTTACCACCTCTCTCACGTTGGACATTGTATCTGAACATAACACCCGTACTTACATAAATAGTCTACCGCGCCCTAACTTAAACCCTTTTCACTTCAGTCCGGTTGCAGCAGGAGAGATTAAGAAGATTATTCAATCTATCAGATCCCAAGCAGTTGGTTGTGATGGCATTAGTCGGAAAATGATCACGACATTGCTGGTCCACCTCCTTCCCGCTATCTCCCATATTGTTAACTTTTCTCTCATGTCTGGCACATTTCCTTCTCTGTGGCGGAGAGCGTATGTGCGCCCGTTACCTAAAACTCCCAATCCGTCTCTTCCCACACACTTTCGTCCAATTTCTATCCTTCCCTTCCTCTCCAAGGTGCTAGAGGCCTGCAGTTCTCCCACTTCATTTACAGTAACAACTTACTCAGTCCCAGTCCTCAGTCAGGGTTTCGACCAGGCCATAGCACGGCATCTGCTCTTCTTAAAGTGACTGGCGATATTAAGGTGGGGATGGAGAATACTAAGGTTACTACCTTAGTACTGGTTGATTTTTCGAATGCCTTCAATACCGTCAGTCATGAACTTCTCCTTGCTGTCCTATCCCATTTCTCGGTCTCTCAAGATACACTGGGCTTGTTTTCCTCTTACCTTCGGGATCGTCAGCAGTCAGTCAGTGTCGAAGATTCTTCCTCTAGCTGGTGTGATCTTACTGCTGGCGTCCCTCAAGGCGGTATTCTTTCACCTCTTCTGTTTTCTATCTTCATTAATCTTATCATCCCAAGACTTCAGTGTTCCTTTCATCTCTACGCTGATGACTTGCAGCTATACTACCAGACAGAGTTGTGCAATGTATCGTCCGCGATTTCGGCTATAAACAGTGACCTGACAGCCATTAAACACTGGTCTGATATGTTTGGCGTATCGGTCAATCCAAATAAATGTCAGGCAATTGTCATCGGGAGTAACCGAGCTATGAGCCAGCTCGACCTTGCCTCACTTCCACCACTTACCTACGATGGCATGGTTATTCCATACTGTGAGTGTGTGAAAGACCTCGGAGTGTATATTGACGCAACTCTGAGCTGGCGACAACAAGTTGCATCTGTGTGCCAGAAAGTGTGGGCCCTCTATAGACTTAGAAACTTTCTTCCATCGAAAACTAAGGTAATGCTTGTTCAGTCTCTTATATTCCCTATAATCGACTATGGTGATATGTGCTACTTTGACCTGAATGCAGATCTGCTCCATAAGCTTGACCGTCTTCTCAACAATTGCATTCGATTCGTTTTTAATTTACGCAAATACGATCACGTGTCTCAGCATCGCTCTCATTTGAAATGGCTTCCAATTCGCCAACGCAGACAGACACGAGCATTAACTACCCTATATTCTTTACTCTTTTCCCAAAATTCTCCTTCCTACCTCACTTCTCAAATTCAATATCTAGGTGCAAAAAAATCTTAGATCTTCAGACAACCTACTTCTTCACTGTCCGACTCACCGGTCTGACTTCGTACATTCCACTTTTTTGGTACAATCTGTCCTGTTATGGAACGCGCTCCCTCTCGAGATCAGGATGGCAAAAACTCGGCAAACATTTAAATACCTGTTGCGGCAACATTTTTTAAACACTCTATCAAATCCATCTTAATTTTATACTCTCTCCATTTAGAATTTATATTATATGTATTTAAGTATATAAATGTATATATATGTATATTTATGTATTATGTGTATTAGTATTATATGTGTATTACTTATTGTATTTATCTTTAAAATTATTCCAATGTTATTTATATAAGTACTCTGGTTATATGATATTCTAGATATGCTATAGTTTTAATAAATCACATTTTTAATTTCTGTGCATCTACCACGTTTGGCTCTGCATCGCCCTAAGGTCGACTGGTAGAAAATGCCTACGGCATTAAGTCCGCCTTTGCCACATTTGTGCATAAAGATTTAAAATAAAATAAAATAAATAAATACTAAATTAATTATACTATTGGTTTCTACATAGCTTCAGCTACTACCTAGTAACGTTTTTATTTCAATATAAAAATGTCGACCCCTTGGCCCAAGTCCCATACAAAGCTGTCGGTGTCCTTTCTGAATGGTATTATTTTTACAGTACACCAACTATTATTAATTATTTTATTCATGAATCAATCTGATATTTATTTTTCAAAACTTTCAACAATTTTTTCTTTTACCATCCTACACGTCTCTAATGGCCATCACTGTTTGCGAATTTACGTTATTTTTATTCTTGTCATATTGCCGGCTGCAGGCATGATAACATTTATTTTACTGTTAAAATTAATAAAATTTTAGTTAGCATTTTGTTATTTTCTGTAGATAATTACTAGCATAATTCATTTAACAATTCACTAGATTCAGTTCGCCGGCTTAAGATTCTGTGCTACAAACTTGCATTATATCTATAAAACCTCAACCTCTAGGTAAATAAATATTTAACAGAACAATAGAATTTTATTCTCTTATATCTTCTCTTATCTTTACAACAAACTTTATTTCATTAGTGGCCGCTGCACACTGAATTTGTAAGGGAGGCCTGCACATCTTTAATGTTATTTGGAAACATATCTAGCTATGTAATGTTACCTTTGGTAGATTTTCCACGACGAAGTTACAGGGGATCGAAAATGACCCGAATGGCTTCGGTAAAAAGATAAAACCTCTCTTTTTGCTCAACTTGATGGGGGGGGGGGGGAGGGGCTCTTCCTTCCACTTCCAAAAAGAATGACCAACAAAGTAGGTATTTATTTTGAAATTTGAGTTAGAATTGAAAAGTTTTTCCGTAATATGTTAAGCAACAGCTGTATACATCATTTTAGCAAACTTAGTAGTTATTTGTTGAATTGCAAAGGTGTATACAAACTTATAAAACAGACATGTTTACAAAGTATTGAACGCGATGTACATGAGGACAAACATTGCAATGGAACTTTGTTTACGTATTCTTCTTTTTCAAATTACAAAATTTAGCTACATATTATGTTTATTTCTTTATATCTTTTAATTGGCAAAGCAATGGTGTCAATAATTCTAATTGCACGCATAATGTTAAGAAAGAAAACTTGTGATTAAATCCAAAAATAATTTATTTAACAACATTCTTTTATTATATTATTTACAATGACATATTTACAAATATATTTCTAATAAGCATAAACCCCCTTAAATCTAAAACAATCCTACTGTTCCCTATACCTATCTGGGATTATGCTAATAATCTATCCATCCATCTATTAAATGAACCCAACTTTGATCAGAGTTTTCATTGGAACTATTTATAGAAGATACTGTTTCATTCTGAGGCACTGCTTGCGAAGGCAGCTCGTAGACTTCGTTGTTATATGTTGGAGGATATTCCTGAACTTGAAGGTTTCCCTGCTGGCATTGTTGCGACTGATCTCCATTGTACTGTACATTTCCAGAAACTGGATATGTGTTCTCATGTAACGGTGGAACTCGTTGGAGTGTTGCTGGCATATTTTCTGCTGGCACCTGAGCATAACTGGAAGTAGTAGGCATATGTTCCATATTATACATGCTCCATTGATAGTGTAAATTATTTGGAGCACTCGGATATTGCTCCTGAATTAGCATCGGCATTTGGACATCATTCATATCTGGAGAGGATTGCGTTATAGTCGCTTCTTCGCATTCTTCAAGACTTTCTAATCTTTCTTTTTTCTCCTTCATGCGACGGTTTTGAAACCATATTTTCACGGTCCTTTCATTTAAACGAAGCACTTCTGCAAGCTGAAGTCTCCTAGCGCGGTCTAAATAATGAGTCCTTTTGTATTCTTTTTCAAGTTCAACCATCTGCTGACTGGTGAAAGCAGTTCTAATTCGTTTTTGTTTTTTTACGCAGCCAGATGTTTTGTTTGTCGTCCATGTAGATGCTTGTGAAACGTAGCTGCTTTGTGCTTGTTGAGTATACCAGTTAGCGCTACCAACAATTTGTCCATTATGTCCAGTATTAAGTCCATTTATTACTAGCCCATTAATCTTTTCGTGAGAATTCATGGCTGGATTAAAGCCATTGGTAATTGGTTGGTTCATTGGCCTTAGGTATGCAATGTTTGGGTAGTTCGGTGGGTGAACTGGTATTATGTTGCTGTTATCGGGGCAGTACTGTGCACTGGATAAGCTATTCATTGGTATTTTTGTATTGTTTGTTGGCACTGGCTCGGTCGGCACTGTAGCGGCTGGTTGCGGTGTGGTTGTCACTGGTGGGTTATTCCTTACCACTGGTGCGGTCGACACTGGTGGGTTATTCGTCGGCATTGGTGCCTCAGTCCATGACATGGGCTGTAAAATAAGGTGAAAATTAATAATCTCATATTAGAGAAAATAAACCCTAAATTATAGTTTTTTATGGTGGGACACCTGATGATAAATGACTACCACTGCCCATAGCCATTTGCAACTCAAGATATACAAGTGCTTTGCCACCCTTTGGAACATCCAGAATTAAAGGGAGGGGGGGGGGGGGATCTGAACCTGTCCAGTACTCTCCATGTTCCATGTACAGTACCATGACTCTAATACTACACAAAACTTCAAAACATCTCAACGACAAATCTACAGCAGCAGAAAGACCAGGTAACAAAGTTTCACGTAAGGTAACTAAGACAGAGATGCAAACGTTAAGATTGGTTTGGTTATTATTATTTCCCTATAAATTAAGAGAAGATGCAAAATAAATTACCAATAAATCGAGTTGGTTCCACGAACTGTTACTCCCGTAACTCGATCCCGTGGTTCCTTTGCTTGAGTTCGATGGTGAAGACTGACCAGAATTCGTAACAGCCATATCGATAAGTTAGTGATAGCAAGAAACGTTTACTGTGAAAGCTGAAGAGCGTATGTCGAATTTCGCCATTTCTTTCATATTTATACACCACCGGGCCTCAAGCCGTGGTGATTAGTTAACTAGTTAAGAGTTAGATTCGGCGAATTCACAATAGGTAATTAGGGTGGTTTTTAATATTTTTAGATGCATTCAATAATTTTTTAAAGGTATATGGAATAGTTTGTTCATAGGGTATTTATTATTTTAAAGATAACTATTTAACTTGTAAATATCTGTTATAACATCTTCTAAAAAGTGATGTTGTTTGTAGTAATATATACATCATCATCAAGAGCCTTTAGTAGTCCACCGCTGGACATAGGTATCTCTTTAGAAAAGAGGTTTTGGCCTACTATACCACGCTGTTCGGATGGGTTGTTTCAAGTTTTACTTCTCTTTGCAGTGCTGTTGTACTGCGTAATTTGCTCCCTTGGGCGGCTCTTACGATACTGACGGGATGAATAGGGGTGGTGACACTCCGTATTCTAAATCCGTCACCACACGACGAACGACGAACAACAGAAGTAGTTACAAGGTAGCTATAAACATTTAGCTTTATAAATTTTCTCAGATGCACACATCACATGTTCTAATTGTAAATTTTAGGACTTGCCTACGATAGATTAAATAATTGATACGATAGCAATAGAAGAATTCCGCAAAAAATCTTGTTGCTGACCTCAATGTTTAAATAAACAAGGCATGCAACAGGATTCTTCTGCAAGGCAGAGTGGAAAACCTCTCCAACGATGATGCCCTTCTTAGTGGTACTTCTGAAGTCGAGAGTAGACATCTTGGGTGCACACTGAGTCTGTTACTGAACTGAATTTAAACTCAGCACAAAGCTATATACCAAATCTCATCAGTATTTAATGTAGTGAATAATTAAATGTAATAAGTTTATGTGGTGTTAACTACGCGACACCTAATAATGTCATTCGTTAGTATGTAAAGCTTTTATGGTTTATTTATTTATTATCATTTACCATTCATAATAGGGTAGTGACATCCGTATATTTAGTTGTATTGTTATCATTAGATTTATTTAAATTTATCAACCTTAGTCTCTTGAGTTGGAGGTTCAGATTTATTATACTTTTATTGACTTTTCTTTCTTCTTGAAAGAAACACAGAACAAAAAGTAAAAAGTGTATGTAAAAACGTATTTAAATTTAAACCTTTGGTCATATCTTATATTCGTATATTTGATTTGAATTCATAATACAAAGTTTTTTTAAGTTAGTTTAGTACTCGGCGCAAAACTTAAATATAAGACAATCTTCGCTAGATTTTGTATGTTTTCATAACAATGCATTTTAGCCACACTTTTTGAAAAATGATTGCGTTCGTAGTTTCAAACGTTAATAAATATAAAGCGAATACAATTATGTATACAACAATCACTGATTTTAAATTTATCTATTAGAAAATAAATAGGTATTCTAAGATTTGACCGATCCACGATCATGACTGTGTGTTGTAATATTTGTAGGGCAATTGTGTTTGAAAATGCTCATTTACTAAATATTTTATTTACAAGTACCCATAAAATGCTATTACCATCAGATGTTACTATTACTATCATATTTTTTGTTATTTATTTGAGAGATTCTTGTCTCGGAGTAGGTTCGCAATGTCATGCGCGCCTATTCTGAAGAAATAATAATTATAAAGTGCGTGCCTATAGACGATTTATTTTGTTACTTCTGTACATTATGCATTTTGAATTTACTATGCATTTTGTACTAGTCTGAATTGACATAATTGTAGGACTACGTGGAGGTTCGAAGTTTTAATGGTCGCTTTTACATAGGGACTGTGTCATAGCCAAATATGACTAACCATTTCAAATTGCTTATAAACTGTATTTAGACGTATTTCGAAACCCTCATTTACTAATTATTATATTCCGTAATATAATTAGGTAATGGGTAGGTAATAATTAGGTATTAACTAATTGTAATGATTGATATGAATAGTAGGCCAAAACCTCCTTTCTAAGGAGAGGTCTATGTCCAGCAGAGGACTAGTAAAGGCTGTTGATGATGATGATGAATGCTTGATACAGTAGATAGACATTATATTCTGCAGTTAGTATTTTAAATACACCTGTAGGCATTATTTTAGCATTTTAGTGCTAGTTTACAATAGTTTTATACAATTATAGAAGTTATGTTCTTTAAGCGCGGTTGATGGTATGAAGTACTTAGGGTAGTCGAGCTTCCGGGACCGGTACCGCGTTCCCGAATTCCCCTTTTAATAGAATACTAACAATTAAAACCATTTATGTTTTGGGAAAGTATGATCAACAAAAAAAAAGTAATACAAATAATTCTGTTCTATAAAACGATTAAATATTTATTTTATTAAAAAAATGGCAGCTTTCCATAAAACCAGAAATGATTTAATGAAACTGTTGTAATTTAATGTTTGAACACTCAAGATTATAATAATTATTTTTTGTTCTTTAGGTTTAATTACGCCGTGTATCGACTGCACGAATAGAGTAGTAGTGTAAGCGCTTTAAGTACTGCGCTGAGAGTTTGATCGGGACAGCACGGGACAGCACTTTGTGTGATCCACAAATCGTTTTTCTACAACAACGACGTTGCCACACAGGATATATTCCTAGTGTAAAAATTCGATTGTGCGTCATATGTTTTTATAAACCAATATTCCTGTGTCTAAGAGTAGGGTTGGATGAGTCTGTGGGTGTCGGTTAGTGATCCTGACTAGGTTTGATTCTCACCCAAGACAAATAATTGTGTGATAAGCACAATCATTTGTTCTGAGTCTGGGTGTTATGTTATCTCTAATATGTATGTATTAAGGAATATATAAAACACATAAGTAAGATTGTTTGTCAGCTGTCTGGTTACTGTAGCACAGGCTCTGCCTAGTCTGTATTATCACTTTATAAACGTAGTTCCTATGAAGTATTCCGCTACACAGTAATTATTCCTAAATGTTTAAGAGTCTATAATGCCGTCAGAACTTTTTCTTACACTTTTCGTATCAGAGGTGGAGGGTTCGACCCCTAAGCAGGATAAATAATAATTATATGGTTGGACTCTTACAAAAAAAAAACCTCATTTGTATTTAGAAATATATAAGTACGTTTTTTTTGGGTCTGTGTATAAATTTTAAAATGCCATGGACACTGTTTACATAAAAGTAATTGGCACTACAAAAAGTGGCACAACAATAACTTTTAAGCGAGTAAAGATAGCAAAGCTTGTATAAATCTTTCTATATAAATAATAATATATAAGGTTTTAATTTCGGAAAAACAAAGTTATGTATCCATAACAAAGTGTATCACATCTAATTATTACTTATTATCTAATGTTAGTACCAATCACCCTCTGCACAAAGTGTTTTGTAATCTGAGAGTTGAAACTGTCCGCTATAGTTTTCAGGATGCTGTCCGACTGTCTTTTACCCTTCTCACCAATGCAGTTAAAAACTATGGGCATTCTTAATTACATGTAAACAACAAACAAATTAGTAAAGAAAAAGAACAAGCTCCAATCACATAAACAAAGTGATTAGCGTAACTACTTCTTTTGTCATTGGCATAGATAACTCGTCTAAATATGAGTAGTGCCTATATTAGCAGAGACACATGTAATGCTACACAATAAGTACCTACAATCTACAATATTTATTTCTTTTAAGCCACGTAGCAAGCTATCAAGATGACAATTAATGCTTTGTATTGTATGCAAGACCTGTTGTTGAATATCATAAGACACAAGCTGTCCCGCGCGACTTCATCTACGTCTATCAAAATAAATAAATTTTCCCCGTTTGTGCAACGCTCTATAAGCGAGTCGCTGTAATCTTAGGAACTGCTGGCTTTCGAGGAAGGCTTTAAAATACAACAAAGGCCAATAGGACCCGAGCATCAATGAAAAATGTTGCAAAAACATGAGAAATTTATTCATTTTCCGGGCGTTTCAGGATAATCCCCGTGTCATGACAGATCTCGTCGGCTTTTTCCATTCGTTCATTCTTTTGTTTAAGACTCCCCCTTCAATCATGTTTCGTATGCGCCACTTTATTTGCTAATCCAGTATTAGATCTGTGAAAATATTTCTTTGCATTTATTCCACCCATTTTATTAGTTACCAGTCAAAAGTAAAAAGTCGTCAAAGTCTGTTAATATGTCTGTCATATAAATATAAATATATCCGAGCTAATATACCTATAAACCCTTTTTTTTTAAATTTATTAATAGGTTAATTAAACGTCCTTCTTTTGTATAGAGAACAGTATTAATAAGTGTTACCACTTTAACTTAAATTTTTAACGGACTTTGAGGCAAATAGTGATAATGCATTTGGCTTCATACCTACTTTGTGTATTGCTGTTACACCAATTTGGTTCTTTTCACTACCCCACTTTTAAAATATCACAATAAGAAATCTAACACCGATTGTTAAATTAACAACCAATCAGTACCAAAATTTAATTTAGCATACGAGTATTATATCAATGACCGACAGCAAATTAAAATTAGGATCCGCTAACACAAGGTCACTAATTATAAGTATTTAATATTGTATGTTTACTCGCTTGACAAACCATTCTTTTATTTTAAATGTTCTCGTTTGTATCCTCTAATGGTATTCTCTTATTTTCAGTAAAATATCAGAAAACGACTAGGATTGATGATAATGTTATTGAATTTTTGAGGTGCCAATTACTATTAAGTAAACAGTGTCCATGGCTTTAAAAAATTAAATACAGACAGAAAGATGAAACGTACTTAGGTATATATTTCTAAATACAAATGAGTGATTTCCAAGCGGAATACTTAAATAAACATCTCACACACGGCTATTTAATACCAACCTAGGTAGACCCTGCGCTACGGCAACCAGATAGCTGATTAACATACTTGGATAGTTCTAAATATATACATATTGTGGATGAAACACCCAGAAACAGAACAAATGCTTGTGCTTACCACACAATTATAATAATACTTATTAGCGCTATAAAAATACAGATGTTCTTAAAATGGTTACCTCATATTATATTATCTAACTACACATTTAGTTAATTACATGATGGTGTCGAAATAAATCTAAGTACTGAATGTACGCAATTTGGAATGGTTAGTCATAGGTAGTTGGATACGTCACAGTCCCTAATTATGAATGACCATTAAAACCTGAAACAGAACAAGTCAGACAGGTTATTCTCATCATCATCATCAACAGCTTTTAATAGTCCACTACTGGACACAGGCCTCTCCTTAAAAAGGAGGTTTTGGCCTACTATATAACGCTGGCCAGACGGGTTGGTGGTTAGGGTTTATTTCAAGTTTTCCTTCTCTTTGCAGTGCTGTTGTCCTGAGTAGTTTGCTCCCTTAGTCGGCTTTTACTCTTACTTATGCATGATATAGAACTAATTAAGAAAAAAAGACTATAGGAACTTTCAAATATATTTTTTATTTTAAGTATGAAGATCTCATGAGTACATAAAAAAAACATTTGAGGAAATAATAATAGAAATTATATAATGAAGTATTTAATTAATGTGCACCTTAAAATTCGTATGCCATCCAAATATCACAACGAAAGTGTGGATCGGTGAAATCTAAGAAGTGCTAGTGATAGCATTTAATATTGTATTTAAATAGCAAAGCATTACTTATAACATGGTTAATTTTATTCATGTTATCCACATTATAAAATTGATAAGATATTGTTTTTCAGACACAGTGACAAGAATACATGTATGTGAAAACAAATCCAGCACAGACTGTCTTATATTTTAGTAATG